GCAACCAAGACACCCAATGTTTGGTTTGCTACAATACTGTATATTAAATGTTAGTATAGTGAAGAGTTGAAACTTCAGACAATATTTTAATATTGGTCTGTGCCTTCTTATTCTGGTGAGTTTTAGAGATAAAATAAGAGAATTTTGCCAATTAGGTCACAGGCAGGAATTTTCATGTTCCCCACTAATACAAGACAGAATTAATTGGTTTTAATTTTGTAGCAACAAGATGACCTGTCCAGACCAATCCCAGATATCACTGCATAGCCATGAAGTAGGATACCCTGCATGGCTGGTAACTTACCCGATGCTCATTCATACTGCCCATAACAGCTTTACGAATAGATTTTGCATAACTGTGCAACCTGCCAAAACAAAGTTGAAAAGACAGGGCACAGTAATATTATAAAGCTTGTAAGAGATGTTCCAGACAAAGTTATTAATGAAAGGTTTCATACTTGAGATGGTCCAACATCATGCAGCTAGCTAAAAGCATTGCAGTGGGGTTTGCAATATTCTTGTTGGCAATGCTCTTCCCTGTGTTTCTAGTAGCCTGTAAAAGAAAAAAAATGAATTATCTAATCGTATGCCATATGGGGGTGGGGATGTGTATTAAATTCACTTACAACACCAGGTTACAGATAACTACACAACTGCATATTGTTTTTAATCAATCAAATCTTTCGAACCGGTCCACTACAGGGACTGGAACAACCACTTCTTGGGATCAATATGGTTCAGGGCAGTCAGCAAATCTGACTGTCTTTGGGCAGACATTTACTGGCTTGAGAAGAAAAAAAAACAGTGAGGATGTAGTTTGTGATGCCATTTTGTACCCTTTTCAGACCACTGAGTGAATCCATAGGTCTGGGATGTGTGTGACCTAGAGGAATGCAAACTACAGATGAAACAAAAACAGATGTCCCTCCCACTCTTAAGAGTAAGGGCACACCTTCATTAGGAAGAGGACTTTGAGATAGACTTGGTGGAATTTGTGTTCCAAGTCTTGTGCTAAAATGAAGGTCTGAATTTTGGTACTGGAGATGAAACTTGTATGGTACACTTTGTTTAGAGGAGGTAGAAGCCTCCGGGGGGGGGGGGGCAGTTGGAATCTTATGTTGTGGAAGAAGGACATATCCACGCTTATGAACTTATCAAGTGCATCACCAAAGATGCATCCTCACTCAAAAGCATATGAGTGAGGTGTCTTATAGGCAGCTTCATGCATATGGATTGAAATAAGAATCATTTTGGAAATGTTTATTGTGACTTGTTCTAGGGCAGGGGTCCTCAAACATTTTAAACAGGGGGCCAGTTCACTGTCCCTTAGACCACTGGAAGGTCGGACTATAGTTTAAAAAAAAAAAAAAAAACTATGAACAAATGCAGACAGTACAGGAGATGACCTGCGGACATACAACGGCAGTGGGAATACTGGGCCGGCCGCTCCATAAGACGCACAGACATTTCCCCTCAAGTGTGTCTTATGGAGCGGAATAGTGCCTCATCGTTGGTATCAGGGGGAGGAATAGTGCCCCATCGTTGGTGCCAGTGGGGGGGAGGCATAGTGCCCCATCGTTGGTGCCAGTGGGGGGAGGCATAGTGCCCCATCGTTGGTGCCAGTGGGGGGAGGCATAGTGCCCCATCGTTGGTGCCAGTGGGGGGAGGAATAGTGCCCCATCGTTGGTGCCAGTGGGGGGAGGCATAGTGCCCCATCGTTGGTGCCAGTGGGGGGAGGCATAGTGCCCCATCGTTGGTGCCAGTGGGGGGAGGCATAGTGCCCCATCGTTGGTGCCAGTGGGGGGAGGCATAGTGCCCCATCGTTGGTGCCAGTGGGGGGGGGAGGCATAGTGCCCCATCGTTGGTGCCAGTGGGGGGGAGGCATAGTGCCCCATCGTTGGTGCCAGTGGGGGGGAGGCATAGTGCCCCATCGTTGGTGCCAGTGGGGGGGAGGCATAGTGCCCCATCGTTGGTGCCAGTGGGGGGGAGGAATAGTGCCCCATCCATCGTTGGCCCCATCGTTGCCAGTGGGGGGGAGGCATAGTGCCCCATCGTTGGTGCCAGTGGGGGGAGGAATAGTGCCCCATCGTTGGTGCCAGTGGGGGGAGGCATAGTGCCCCATCGTTGGTGCCAGTGGGGGGAGGCATAGTGCCCCATCGTTGGTGCCAGTGGGGGGGAGGCATAGTGCCCCATCGTTGGTGCCAGTGGGGGGAGGAATAGTGCCCCATCGTTGGTGCCAGTGGGGGGAGGCATAGTGCCCCATCGTTGGTGCCAGTGGGGGGAGGCATAGTGCCCCATCGTTGGTGCCAGTGGGGGGGAGGAATAGTGCCCCATCGTTGGTGCCAGTGGGGGGAGGAATAGTGCCCCATCGTTGGTGCCAGTGGGGGGAGGAATAGTGCCCCATCGTGGTGCCAGGTAGTGCCCCAGTGCCACGTGAGGGGGAGGAATAGTGCCCCATCGTTGGTGCCAGTGGGGGGAGGAATAGTGCCCCCCAGTGGGGGGAGGAATAGTTGGTGCCCCAGTGGTGGGGGGAGGAATAGTGCCCCATCGTTGGTGCCAGTGGGGGGAGGAATAGTGCCCCATCGTTGGTGAGGGGGGGAGGAATAGTGCCCCATCGTTGGTGCCAGTGGGGGGAGGAATAGTGCCCCATCGTTGGTGCCAGTGGGGGGAGGAATAGTGCCCCATCGTTGGTGCCAGTGGGGGGAGGAATAGTGCCCCATCGTTGGTGCCAGTGGGGGGAGGAATAGTGCCCCATCGTTGGTGTCAGTGGGGGGAGGAATAGTGCCCCATCGTTGGTGCCAGTGGGGGGAGGAATAGTGCCCCATCGTTGGTGCCAGTGGGGGGAGGAATAGTGCCCCATCGTTGGTGCCAGTGGGGGGAGGAATAGTGCCCCATCGTTGGTGCCAGTGGGGGGAGGAATAGTGCCCCATCGTTGGTGCCAGGGGGGGGAATAGTGCCCCATCGTTGGTGCCAGTGGGGGGAGGAATAGTGCCCCATCGTTGGTGTCAGTGGGGGGAGGAATAGTGCCCCATCGTTGGTGTCAGTGGGGGGAGGAATAGTGCCCCATCGTTGGTGTCAGTGGGGGGAGGAATAGTGCCCCATCGTTGGTGTCAGTGGGGGGAGGAATAGTGCCCCATCGTTGGTGTCAGTGGGGGGAGGAATAGTGCCCCATCGTTGGTGTCAGTGGGGGGAGGAATAGTGCCCCATCGTTGGTGTCAGTGGGGGGAGGAATAGTGCCCCATCGTTGGTGTCAGTGGGGGGAGGAATAGTGCCCCATCGTTGGTGTCAGTGGGGGGGAGGAATAGTGCCCCATCGTTGGCGTCAGTGGGGGGAGGAATAGTGCCCCATCGTTCGTTAGTGCGTCAGTGGGGGGAGGAAAAGTGCCCCATCGTTGGCGTCAGTGGGGGGAGGAATAGTGCCCCATCGTTGGCGTCAGTGGGGGGAGGAATAGTGCCCCATCGTTGGCGTCAGTGGGGGGAGGAATAGTGCCCCATCGTTGGCGTCAGTGGGGGGAGGAATAGTGCCCCATCGTTGGTCCAGTGGGGGGAGGTTGCCCCATCGTTGGCGTCAGTGGGGGGAGGAATAGTGCCCCATCGTTGGCGTCAGTGGGGGGAGGAATAGTGCCCCATCGTTGGCGTCAGTGGGGGGAGGAATAGTGCCCCATCGTTGGCGTCAGTGGGGGGAGGAATAGTGCCCCATCGTTGGCGTCAGTGGGGGGAGGAATAGTGCCCCATCGTTGGCGTCAGTGGGGGGAGGAATAGTGCCCCATCGTTGGCGTCAGTGGGGGGAGGAATAGTGCCCCATCGTTGGCGTCAGTGGGGGGAGGAATAGTGCCCCATCGTTGGCGTCAGTGGGGGGAGGAATAGTGCCCCATCGTTGGCGTCAGTGGGGGGAGGAATAGTGCCCCATCGTTGGCGTCAGTGGGGGGAGGAATATAGTGCCCCATCGTTGGCGTCAGTGGGGGGAGGAATAGTGCCCCATCGTTGGCGTCAGTGGGGGGAGGAATAGTGCCCCATCGTTGGCGTCAGTGGGGGGAGGAATAGTGCCCCATCGTTGGCGTCAGTGGGGGGAGGAATAGTGCCCCATCGTTGGCGTCAGTGGGGGGAGGAATAGTGCCCCATCGTTGGCGTCAGTGGGGGGAGGAATAGTGCCCCATCGTTGGCGTCAGTGGGGGGGGAATAGTGCCCCATCGTTGGCGTCAGTGGGGGGAGGAATAGTGCCCCATCGTTGGCGTCAGTGGGGGGAGGAATAGTGCCCCATCGTTGGCGTCAGTGGGGGGAGGAATAGTGCCCCATCGTTGGCGTCAGTGGGGGGAGGAATAGTGCCCCATCGTTGGCGTCAGTGGGGGGAGGAATAGTGCCCCATCGTTGGCGTCAGTGGGGGGAGGAATAGTGCCCCATCGTTGGCGTCAGTGGGGGGAGGAATAGTGCCCCATCGTTGGTGTCAGTGGGGGGAGGAATAGTGCCCCATTGTTGGTCTCAGTAGGGGGGGAATAGTGCCCCGTCCTTGGTGTCAGTGTGGGGGAGGGGATAGTGTCCCAACATTGGTGTCAGTGGGAAGAATCGTGTCCCATCATTGGTGTCAGTGGGAGGAATAGTGTCCCATCATTGGTGTCAGTGGGAAGAATTGTCTCCCATCATTAGTGTCAGTGGGAGGAATAGTGCCCCATCATTGGGGTCAGTGGGAAGAATCGTGCCCCATCATTGGTGTCAGTGGGAAGAATCGTGCCCCATCATTGGTGTCAGTGGGAGGAATAGTGCCCCTATTCCTCCCCCCACTGACACATCATTAGTGTCAGTGGGGGGAGGAATAGTGCCCCATTATTGGTGTCAGTGGGGGAAGGAATAGTGTTCCATCGTTGGTGTCAGTGGGGGGTGGAATAGTGTTTCATCGTTGGTGTCAGTGGGGGGAGGAATAGTGTCCCATCATTTGTGTCAGTGGAGGAATAATGCCCCATCATTAGTGTCAGTGGAGGAATAATGCCCCATCATTAGTATCAGTGACACCAATGATGGGGCACTATTCCTCCCACTGACACCTATCACACGTAACTTGCTGACCCCTGTTCCAGCATGGTGCTACTGCAGCCAGCATACCTGGTTGCAGCAGCACTATCAGCACGGCACACTTATCTGCCAGCTGTCCTTCACTCCGGCCTCTCTCTCACTCGATGTTCGCAGGGCCGCTCGGCTCCGCCTCCTCGCAGGTGATTGGCCGCCTGTGTGCCTTTCCTGAGCTACAGTTCTGGCGCCCAATCACCGGTGAGGAGGCAGAGCAGAGCGGCAGGAGTGAGGCAGTGGCCAGAGTGAATGAAGGAGCAGAGCTTCCTGGACTGGATCGTCGTGGGACTGGGACTGGAGCCAGGTAAGGTACAGCAGCTCCCTGCCCGCCCCTGTACTTAATGCCCCTTCCTGTCCCGCCCCTGCCGGCGGGCCGGATAAATGGCCTCGGCGGACCGCATGTGGCCCACGGGCCGTAGTTTGAGGACCCCTGTTCTAGGGCATCAACACATAAGTAGGGTGTAGGGCAGAAGGAAACATTTGTAAGGGTTTCACCAGAACTCTATTCTGGAATACAGGATTCTGTTCATTGCACTAATCCAATTAGCTGCAGTTTGACAAGCAGAAACTACAGCAAAAAAGAGCATTTAAGAGTGTCTCAAAATCCTTAAAATGAATGAACATCTTGTAAGAACAGTAATATGTTTATTTAGGACTGAGATGGCGGGATCTGCTACAGGAATAATCAACATTGTTATGCTTGTTATTCTTTTTCCATAGTTCTGCAATGATTCTCAGAAGAGTTAAAATATTTTCAGGAGTACTCCATTTGTCATAAATCGCCCATTCTTATTGTCCATGACTGTTCCTGTCTTCAACTTTGCAGGTCTCTTAATACCTAAAGTGGCATCGCAGAACAGAGGAGAATCAAATAGAACTATGCCAAGGCTTTTGTACACAGCAAAAGTAAGCATGTCTACATTGACAAACATTTTGAGCAACACCATAGTACTAGGTGTATAGAAGCCTTGGGGGGTGAGAAATCTTCCATTGCCTCCTCTAGCACAGTTTTTAGGTCCACTACATTCTTCTCTGTTTCTACTACAGCGAGATCCACTTTTGACTCAGGTAGAGAAGGTGGGGATGGAGAAGAAGCCTGGTACTTTTGAGTGCCGAACGGCTGTTATAAGGCCACTAGCTGTTGCAGAAGAAGTTACAGAAAATCTGCCTTGGTCAGACGAACCACTTGTTGCATGCCTGACATCGAACTAGAATTAGGTACAAAGACCAGTGTAAAAATAGGGTCCTTCTCCAGTGCAGGGGAAACACTGTCACTCTCAGTGGTTGAGTGCTTTGCAAGTGAGTGTTTGCCCGAGTTGTTGCCATGTTTACCTTGTGTTTGGTTTCTGCCATTGCTTTCAATGAGAGTGTTGCCCTGTGGGGTACTCATGAAGTAAAGAGCAGAAATTAAATACCGTATTTTCCGGCGTATAAGACGACTTTTTACCCCTTGAAAATTTTCTCAAAAGTCGGGGGGGGGGTCGTCTTATACGCCGGTAACGGCATGCTGACACTTTTTAGGGGGGCGGCACGGTGCCGCCGCCGCCGCCCCCCCCCTTCCAACAGAAGGGAAACTAAGTACAGGGGGTGGGCAGGGGCTGCTGTCTCTTACCTGGCTCCGGTCCCACGAAGATCCGGTCCAGGAAGCGCGGCTGCTCCTTCCTTCGGTTCGTCCACTGGATGTTCGCGCGGCTGCTCAGCTCCGCCTCCTCACCGGTGATTGGGCGCCAGAACTGTAGCTCAGGAAAGGCACACAGGCGGCCAATCACTGGCGAGGAGGCGGAGCCGAGCGGCCCCGCGAAAATCGAGTGGAGATGCAGGTAAGTGTGCCGTGTAGAGGTGCTGCTGCAACCACATGCTGGCTGCAGCAGCACCGTACTGGAACAGGGGTCAGCAAGTGTCAGTGGGAGGAATAGTGCCCCATCGTTGGTGTCACTGATACCAATGATGGGGCATTATTCCTCCCACTGACACCAACGATGGGGCACTATTCCACCCCCCACTGACACCAATGATGGGATACTATTCCTCCCCCCCCACTGACACCAATGATGGGATACTATTCCTCCCACTGACACCAAAGATGGGGCGCTATTCCACTGACACCAATGATGGGGTGCTATTCCCCCCAATGATACTAATGATGGGGCACTATTCCTGCCACTAATACCAATGATGGGGCACTATTCCTGCCACTGATACCAATGATGGGGCACTATTCCTGCCACTGATACCAATGATGGGACACTATTCCTTCCACTGACACCAATGATGGGGCGCTATTCCTGCCACTGATACTAATGATGGGGTGCTATTCCTCCCACTGATACTAATGATGGGGCACTATTCCTCCCACTGATACCAATGATGGGGCACTATTCCTGCCACTGATACTAATGATGGGGCACTATTCCTGCCACTGATACTAATGATTGGGCACTATTCCTGCCACTGATGCCAATGATGGGGCACTATTCCTCCACTGACACCAATGATGGGGCACTATTCCTCCCACTGACACCAATGATGGGGCACTATTCCTCCCACTGACACCAATGATGGGGCACTATTCCTCCCACTGATACCAATGATGGGGCACTATTCCTCCCACTAATACCAATGATGGGGCACTATTCCTCCCACCGACACCAATGATGGTGTACTATTCCTCCCACTGACACCAATGATGGGGCACTATTCCTCCCACTAATACCAATGATGGGGCACTATTCCTCCCACCGACACCAATGATGGGGCACTGTTCCTCCCACTGACATCAATGATGGGGCACTATTCCTCCCACTAATACCAATGATGGGGCACTATTCCTCCCACTGACACCAATGATGGGGCACGATTCTTCCCACTGGTGTGCACTGAAAGAGGGGTAGTCTTATACGGCGAGTATAGCCCAAACACTACATTTTAAACAGGAAAAGTAGGGGTCGTCTTATACGCCCAGTCGTCTTATACGCCGGAAAATATACGGTAAGCGTTTTCGTAAAAGCATACACAACAACCCAGGAGTCAACTGTCCTGTAGCAAAGTCCTTGTGGCAATAGGGCAGGAGGAGTGCCTGAGCACCTTATAAAGGCTCAGGGCAGAAGTGGTAAAAATGCGACCTGTGGTGTGATGTAACACCAAGTCATGAACCTGAGACTAAACTTTCAAAACTTGGCAGTAAAAATTCTACCATTCAGATCTTAAAACACCCAATAAGTGAATAAACTCAAACACATTCCAAACTTCGGTATAGTTTTGCGAAATACTGTTCAGAGTACACTAAAAAAAAAGTGTAATGGCGATATGGAGTCTCATACTTGCTGTAATACTACTGTATCGGTCTGACAACCAGGACAAATCTGTTTTGCCTTTCCACATCACTGGTCCCTAATTTGGATACCAGCAAAGATTTTGTGTCTAATGACTTGAAGGGAACAGCCTATAAATCAGGGTCTATGAATATCAACCCTGGATGTTTACTGGCCATTTTCTATCCTGGCTGATTCGGGTGTCCTGTACAGTTTTGTTCCATCACTGCAAGCTTTTCCTGACTTTTCAGAAGTGTTGGTATCTACGTCTGTACTAGAGATGTGATAGAAGATAGAAACCAAGTTACTTGGTTACACAGTATACTCTGACAAAATCACTTCTTTGTAAGTGCAATCTATCTACATGCGTTTTTATCTTCACTCTCTAGTAGGTACTCTCTAGTAAGCTCAGGATTTATAAATATCAAAGCTGGATGATTTCTGGCCATTTTCTATCCTGGCTGATTTGGGTGTCCTGTACAGTTCTGTTCCAGGACTGCAAGCTTTCTTTACTTTTGCTGGCTTTTCAGAAGTGTTTTTGTCTGCATCTGTACTAGAGATCTGACAGCAGAAAGGAACCAAATTACCAGGTCATACTCTCTGATCAAATCACTTGTTCGTGGAATTTATCTACATGAGTCTTATCATCACTTTGTTGTATTTAGAATATGGAATGCACAGTAGTACTATGGATATAGTTTACCTCTGTGTTTAGTATACAGAGTAAGAGCTCCACCTCCCTCAAAGTACACTTAGCTGCAGCAACTGTTACTCACCAAAGTACCTCTGACAAATGTAAACATTGAAAACCAAAAAGCGTTGAACTTGCACAGGGTGATCAGAGGGTAGGCTGTTCACTGAAGTGTGATCAATAAATGTGAGCAGTCAGAATGGAAAAGAAAGTTGCAGACTTTAAAAGAGGTAAATACTAACTGGGATAAAAAAAAGCATACACCAATCTTGAAAAGGCAGAATGTGCAGTGAAGTGACAAGAAAATTGACAAATATTAGGATATAGTCATTCACAAGCATCCAACTCCACTGTTATAGAAACGCAGATAGGTTTATTTGAGGACTTAAGTAAAAGGAAATGGGAGAAGACATGTTTTCTAGAACCAAACTGAAATCATTAATAAAGGGTTATTTCACATTCACAAAAAAAAATGCCTATGAAAGGAAGGGTGTAAAGGGGATAAAAAAACAAAACAAAACTGTGCAGCTCTGACTAAAGTCGAATAAAGCCCTTGCTAGGTGTAGGCCGTTTACATACCTTCTGAAGCCTGACTGGAATACTCCCAGGACATTGCTAGCATGTTGCTTAGTGAGGCCTAGTCATTACTGCTCACCTCTACCATCACAGGGGTGAGCTCTTTCTTTTGATTCAAACCCACTCACATGCTCTCTCTCCCCGATGCAGTAGCTCTGAGACCAATGTTTCAGAGATCACTCCTGTAATGGAGGAGGTGACATTAATAACTAGGCCTCACTTAGCAACATCCTAGCAGTGTCCTGGGAGTATTCCAGTCAGGCTTCATGAGGTGCGTAAATGGCATACACCTATAGCAGGACATTATTCAACTTTAGTCAGAGCTGCACAGTTTGTTTTAATCTACAGATGACTACAGGCTGCATCGCAACCCCTCTAGTTCAGAATGAAGTTCCTAGGTGGTTCCCAGATTGCAGGAGGTTCAGAAATGCCCTATAGGCCCTCGCAACAATGAAAGCCAAAGAGAGTGATTAGTCATCTTGGTCATATCTGCTGAAACATTCTAGCTTTCCTACTGCCTCAAAGTTATTTTTGGTGTGTACCATAGGAAGCAAGTCATTGCTGTGATTTTGCAAAAGTGGAATTTTGATGGAATGAGAATGACAAGGACAAATGTATTCCTTCACTTTTTCATTTACCAGGAATAAAAGATAACAGAATGAGACTACTCTGCTTGTCACTATATGAGGCATAATACAAAGCAAAGTTGTAAAGGTCTCAAGGGCCTTAAGAAGTTAGTGAGCAGTTCAAAAGTTTCTATCTAGCAAAGAGAACTCTTTTACATGAAATAAGAGATTCAAGAAAATCAAAACTCAGTTTATATTTATAACAAAAAGCAATAACCGGTACTCACTGTCTCAAACACTGCATAGACACTCCCATAGTTTGCTCCGGGTACCAATCCTGGGCCTCCGACCAGTCCAGCACAGACATTATTCACTATGTTCCCATAAAGGTTGGGCATCACCATCACATCAAACTGCTGGGGGTTAGATACAAGCTACAATAGGACAAAAAGAGTTGTAAAGTTCAGATGTCTCGATGCTCTGCTCTGGACCTGGTAATCTCAAACCATGCAGAGATTATTATGAATGTCCATATAAAAGAACATCTGGGTAGCAGTGACCATAACATGATTTAATGTATTATTAGCTGTAAACAAGCACATACAGGAATAAAAACGCTCAATTTTAAGAGAGCTAATTTTCCAAGGCTGAGAGCTGTTCTTCAAGACTTAGACTGGGGGGGCATCAATGAATACAACGCAGAAATAGGAGTTCTTCAAAAAGACTGTGTATGTGAACACACTGCAAAATATATTCTCATGGGCAACAAGTTTAAAAGGCTAAAAAATAAAACCTATGTGGCTTAGGGCCAAAGTTAAAAAAGCTATAGATAATAAGAAAAGAGCTTTTATTAAATATAAAAATGAAGGAACGCTATCATCATTTAAACATTATAAAGAACATAACAGAATAGGCAAAAAGGAAATAAAGGCCGCAAAAATTGAAAACGAACGACAGATTGCAAAAACCAAGATAAATAGAATATGGGATTTTGAAGGTGCATAAAAATAGATGAAAATAAATATTTAAAAGGGTTTTTGTTCCAATTTATTACAAACAAATTATATCGAGTACAAGTACAGTAAATCTTGACATTCATAAACAGGCTTGGCTTTTTTTCTGCGCCATATAGATAGTGCTTCCCTACATGTTTCGCCCAACCTGGACTTCCTCAGGGGAAGAGATCAGTTATCCGCAGTACAGTCTACAAGTATATCAAAGACATAAATCAATCAGACATGGTTATTACATATACCATTTGATTATTTTACACATGGGTTTTTAACTGTCCAGAAAGGTATATGAACCCCCAGCTTACCCTTGGGACCATGCTGCCAATAACATTCATTAAAACAGTGATGCACATACGTTAAGATTATGGCCCAGGCGTCGTGCAATTGCAGAAGGTACATTGGACATAGGATGTCATTGGTCGGATGCGGACGTCCGGTATATTATGACTGCGCATGTGTGGGATCAACGCGTTTGCGCTGATCTAAGCTGCCCAAAAACTACCATGCACTCAAAGGGCTGCAGAGATAGGAGGAATGAAAGACAGCGCCACCAATGGTCGGAGGATATAGATAATACATGGAAGAAATCAAGCAACACATAATCCACCATCTAGTGGTAAAATAGAATAACTGCAGGTATTGCCATGAAGATTTATAAATCAAAATAAAACCAATGCCACCACTAGTGAAATGGTCAAGCTAACATATCAAACAAATCAAACAACATGTAACTAAGTATCAGGTTGCAAAATATGACAATGACACACTCTGCTGTCAATATCCTCAATGGTGGTACAATCAACACATGAAAATAACATACGGCGAAGCAAGGGGCTTCAATCCTTCAGCAGTACATAAAGTGGCGCAGGCCTCGGATATCGAAGTGCCGCGCCCTGGGCGTCCGTACAACCACACCTAGGGACACCTGTACAAGACCTGGACACAGTATATAAAGCAACAATAAGAAAATTATAAATATATTGGTTAACGGACAAGCTGGGGGGGAGG